CTCTCTCTCTCTCTCTCTCTCTCTCTCTCTCTCTCTCTCTCTCTCTCTCTCACGATTACATTTTTTAATGCACATCTAGTGGACTGTTGGGGTTGCAATCGAAAGGTCTAGGGTTCAAATCCTTTTAGCGGTCCGACTCTTATGTGTAATCGAAAAAAGGAACTTTACACGAATTTTCCTCACTCCGTCCAGGTACCCGGTTATAAACAACGAAAGATCTTGTTAATTTGTTCGTGTTTGAGTGCTTAATTACCTGCTTGCACTGTTTGCATCCTGGTAACCGAGAATGTTTCTGGGAGTTCTTGGGTCTCCTGGGAGTAATGATAGTTGTTAAGCGCATAGAGTTGCTGTTGGGCGGGTTATGCACTGAACAAATGCTATAATATACTACTTATTTACTCCCGCCTTGTGTTTCTTAACCTTCGACCTGTTCACGTTCGCCGGAAACGAACAGAATGAGTTGCCTCTTCCTGACAAAAAAGCAATCTCCGCTTTGGTGGTCATGTGGCCTAACACTCGATCCTAACCGGTCACTGTGGTTTTAAAAAAATCTCACTTCCTGTTCTTGGTTTAATTTTCGTGAACCATAAAATTCGAGTTAAATGTTTTTAAACACGTATATGTTGATGTCGGTGTTGTAGTTGTTGCTGTTGTTGTTGTTGTTGTTGTTGTTGTTGTTGTTGTTGTTGTTGTTGTTGTTGTTGTTGTTGTTGTTTTCTTCGTTGATTCCGTTTGTAATTACTTTAAAAAACAATTTTCTGAATGACCACTAGTTTTTCCTTTTAATTTCCGTTTATTTCCCTCCTTCTTTCCCCCTCCCCACCCTCCCTCCCTCCTTCTCCCGGCCACAGGAGCGTACTCTGCGGATACGGTGACATTTTCCCGGAGCACAAAGACCTGGCATTGGCCTACAGGAAGTTCCAGGTCGAGTGTGTGGAGGGGCGGGAGAAGGCCGCGCGTGTGTCTGTGAGTGTCAGTGCCAGAGACAGGGAAGGGGAGAGTGGAAAGGACAGGACCCGGCAACCCCAGGGCTGGGTTGTAGCGGACGCCAGACGTACACTTACCAGACGCACGGGCAGACACACAGGGATACGCCACGACCAGACCACCGCCGCGCCTATATCGCTTGTGATTGTTGGCATCTGCTAACGGTGGTTTTGACTTGAACCGGAACCAGGTTTCTGCTCTTACCCCCAGTCCCCCCCTCCCCCCCCCTCAATCTTCCCCAAGACTTCCCTCCTCTCTCTGTCTTGTTTGTTTGTTTGTTTGTATCTCCCACTTTCTCTCTTTTATCTCACTCCCTCTCTCTCTTTTTGTCTGTCTCTTTTTTATGTTCAAACAGAGAGATAGCAAATCTTGTCCACAAAGCCCAGCCATTCGCTTTGTAGGAACAACCACGTCGAAAAAGATAGACATAGAGAAATAGAGCAAGCTAAGAGAATAAAAAAAGGAAAAAGTGAAAGAAGGAGCTTTCGGAAAGAAGCAAGAAGAAAAGAAGAAGAAGAATTAGGAGGAGGATGGAAAAAAAGTGGAGAGTCATGTTTTCTCCAGGTAAGCTGGCCAGCAAACACTGCGGGGACCTGGATGTTGCCGAGCGCGTGGCGCCGAGATTACCTGGCGGGCACCGATTAACTGCCACTTCAGGGAGAGTTCGCGCATACTTCTGCGCATCTCGGAACCGGAACAAGACGTTGGTGGTGACTGCAGGGAGGAAAGAGGCGAAGAGGAGAGGTACTTGTAGTAATATCGCTACTCACGCCGCCCTCGCCCTTGTTTCTGACAGTCTTACTACCACCCCTACTTGTTGCAGTCAGAGCTGCTGTAATAAAAAGAACTTTCTTCAAGCTCGGGCTGATGAATTGTGCTTTAATACGAAAGACAAGAGAACTATCGCCGCTACTACTGCTGCTACCACCATAATTGCTACAACCACTGAGGCCTCCATCCCCACTCCTCTCAACGCCACAAAAACAACAACTATAACGACAAAAACAAAAACAACCAACCCGTCTACCCCGACTCCTTCCAACACTATTGTAACAACCAACAGTACCCCTACCCCACTCATACCCCTATCGTCACTGTCACCATCCTCATCCTCCACCTCCACCACTACCACCACCACCACCGCCTCATCTCGTGCCAACCCCAGCACCACCGCCACCACCACCACCTGTTCGCTCCCCGTGTCTCCCGCCTCTAGCGCTGAGTCAGCCCCGAGCACCGTCAGTATGAGCGAGAACAGCAGAAGTAGCAGTCGAGTTTTCCCGCTCAAACGGCTGAGCAGACGAACACTTAATCTCAGACTTAACAGAACCACCACCACCACCAG